ATCAGTGTTCCTAGAAAGACACTTTGGGCAATACTGCTCTAGGGTGATAATGATACATTAGCCAATATTCTTTGGGGAAGAGATCATTTTATTAGCTTTGAATCCCCCTGCATTATCATCCAACCTTCCTAAAGTTCTCCATATGTCAAAGATTATCAAGGTATTGTCAAATGTGGCAATGATATCTTCCCAGACTAACTTACCACAAAGTGAAATAGGACCAGGGAAAGAGGATTCAGCATTAGGATTAGTGAGCCATGGATGCCAGATCTACTGTGAGAATTACGCTTAATAAGAAGCTATGAAGGTCTGGGTGTCCATTGGTGGATGGGTGGATGGAGAAGATGTGGTACATGTATAGAGTGGAATATTATTCGGCCATAAGAAGGAAGCGGGTCCTGCCGTTTGCGGCGACATGAATGGAGCTGGAGGGTGTTGTGATAACTTACCACAAAGTGAAATAGGACCAGGGAAAGAGGATTCAGCATTAGGATTAGTGAGCCATGGATGCCAGATCTACTGTGAGAATTACGCTTAATAAGAAGCTATGAAGGTCTGGGTGTCCATTGGTGGATGGGTGGATGGAGAAGATGTGGTACATGTATAGAGTGGAATATTATTCGGCCATAAGAAGGAAGCGGGTCCTGCCGTTTGCGGCGACATGAATGGAGCTGGAGGGTGTTGTGCTCAGTGAGGTAGGCTGGGCAGAGGGGGACAGGTGCCAGGTGATTTCACTCTTATGTGGAGTATAACAACAAAGAAAGACTGAAGGAGCAAAACAGCAGCAGAATCACAGAACCCAAGAATGGACTGACGGTTGCCAGGGGGAAGGGTACTGGGGAGGATGGGTGGGAAGGGAGGGATAAGGACAGGGAAAAAGAAAGGGGGCATTATGATTGGCATGTATGGTGTTGTGGGGGGGGTACGGGGAGGGCTGTACAACACAGAGAAGACAGGAGGTGATTATACAGCATCTTGCTACGCTGATGGACAGTGACTGTAGTGGGGTATGTGTGGGGGACTTGGTGAGGGGGAGAACCTGGTAAACATGGTGTTCTTCATGTAATTGTAGATTAATGATAGCAAAATAAAAATAAATAAAATAAAATAAAAAATAAAATAAAAAAGAAGCTATGAAGGTGACAGATACATATTTTAAAGTTTCCCATTAAACTGGCTACATCTTAAAAGTTTTGGTGATTAAAAACTAATCTTAGTTACCTGGAAAATTTCGTTAAAGGGAACGTCTCATTCTCTAGTGATATTTACTACATTTCTATGTTGAAGAATGAGTTAAAAAATTATCACTGAATACTGTATATTATATAAGGAGTCATAATAAAAATAGTTTAAAAATTTTAAGGTCTTCATAGTGTTAAAAGAATTTTACATATTCATCTGAAAAAAATTCACTTGCAAGATTATATGTAATAAGGATGGTCTTTTTGAAAGAAAACAGACACTTAAGTAGTGTATCAAATACCTTCATCATTTAGCAACTTAATTTCAAAATTGGGACTAGGAGGATGATATCCTTTACTTGGAAGAGTTTGCACACAGAAATCGTGTTCAAACAGCACATTTAAAATTGATTGAGGCAGTACGTTCACCTAACGCAATCCCAGTACTGCTAAACCTCCACATGGTCTACGGGGGCATCAGACTTAAGATGTTGTTGAGATAACTGGCTTCCATTAGCAAGCATGTGATTGGCAGGATGATAAAGTCTTTTCAGTCCCAGGTCAGCTATTTCCTTTTCTTTAGAAGAGGGCAATTCTGATGATCCATCTTTTAGCTACAGTCTCTCATTGAGTCCCAATTCTCTTGCCTTCAGCTTTGATAGGGTTATAACTTTCCTCTTGTATGAGCTCATACTTGTCATCAACTCCTCTATTCAGAAGAGCAAATATCAGGAGTTTGACCTCAGGGCAAAGTCCGGGTGGGCAGGTAAAATTCAACCACTGGACCTACTTCCTAATCTTTCATACCCAGCAATTCATGAAGCAGTATCAAATTCAAACTAAAAAACAGAAGCGTGACCCCTTATAAGTACTATGAAAAGGGCTCTTTTGCCTTTCTAAGTATACTTGAAAAGAACTGTCAGCCACCCTATTAAGGTAGAAATGGATCACAGACTAGAAAAAAAGAAGTGCAGAGACTCCAATGAAATGTAAATAAAAGTGTTAGCACCCTCTTTATGTTTGGTGATATACTACTTCATGTAAAAGTGTTAAAATATTATGCTATGAAATATCTTTACAAAGTCAGGAAAATAAGAAACATTATGAAACTTTAAAGCATCCTTATTGAAATAATACTGACAGCCGATACAAAAAACATATCACCTAATATGAGACTTCAGTTTTCAAGACTAATTTAATTTTTGGCTAATTCTGATACTTGGTATTTCACCTCCTAACTGTTTGTAAATTAATTTGAAAAACAAATATAGGTGAAAAATAACTCTCCTTATCAAGTCACTAAATCCAGGCCTCTGAAATCATAAAATTCAAGTTATGTCTCAGTGGTCCAGCAGCTAAAGGCAAGAATTAGCTGCACCTTCTTGTTTTCAAATACAAATGCAAAATAACAGAGTATGATTAAATTTTAACATAAATAATCAGAAGATGATTTTAAACCCCTTTTGAAACTAGAAAAATAAACACATAAAAAAATTAGCTCATCAAAATTTTCTACCCACTAGTCATTTTCACTGCATATTAACTACCATACTTTCAAAATATGTTTATATTAAATAATTATTTCAATATAAGTCTCTAATATTAACAGTTCTACATATGTGCCATAGTAGATTTCAGAACTCTAAATGTTTCACAATAGACTTTTTATTCACTTATAAGTCAAAGAAATTACACTGATTGAGGAAAAGTCATCCAGGGCTTAATGCCTCTAAGCACACATACTTGAAAAGTAAATTCAATCAAAAATATTCAAGATGTTAATATTTATAAGTGTGCCTTAAAAACAATTCCCTGATAAAGCTATATGCTTGTAAAGATGCCTTCTTTGCTGTCAAATGATGATTATCTTCGAAGAAAGAAAACACCCAGGATTGGAGTTTTAATGTACATTGAACCAACCACCTATCTGGACATCTCAATGAACAGAATCTTTACCAACAGTTTCATAACCTATGTGGTCCTATTCATAACCTTCAGTGAGATTGCAAACTAGTTAACACCATACAAATTCATATATATATCACATAATAAATTTCAAATTTTTTGTAAACAGTTTATATATAATGGAAGCTACCCCCTCAAATCACATCCTCTAGATTGGTGAACATATTCATGCTCTTGTAACAGGGAAACTTACCCCAGGGAGTAGCTATAATCTAATTAGGAAATGAATATACCTCCACACCTATTTCTAACTTGCTAAAGGACTCAGTTTTCTATATTAGATCATCTTGCTCAGGGCAAGAGGACTGCAACAGAGAAAACTACTTCTAAAGGAAATGGATCCACCTTCGACATAAAGCATATCTTCTGGTAAACTGGAACAGAAGTTCAGAGTCACCTTCTTCATTTTCCACTAACTCCTCCATTAATAACATTAATCATCTACAGATCTAGGTCATCCTAACAGTGTTCCTTGTTTGGCATTAATATATGAGTACTGATTGCAAACTGAAGTATGAATATATTTTTTATGTCCAGTGCTTGACAGACATAAATGGGAGAAAGGAATGGCTTTTTCAGTTTCCTTCTAAACCTGACTTGAAGATACAACATCTATTTCCATATGACTCACTGTCTTAAAAGTATTCCTTACCAGTTTATGGGTGTTTTGTTTTTCTAAAGGACTTTTAAATTCCATAAAGATGAAACTATCTCTTATGTTATTTTTGTGTCTATTTCAACCACATCTCCTCTTCAAATAATAAGTAGTTCACATGGTAGTTCACAAATACTTATTAAACACTGGTTTGGAATTAAAGCAAGACAGCTCTATTCTCAGGCATTTACTGAAATCAGAACCCTTTAACTGCTAAAATTGGTTCTATTCCAAACATCACAGAGGTAGAATTTATTCATACCAGTGACTGAGCCCCATTTCCAGTCAATTCTGTCCCCATAGGGGTAGGACCATTTATAGACTGATAATACAGTGGCTTTCTTTTAATTCCACCTCCATTTGGTTCTTCTTGCCAAAGGCAGCAGTCACTCCTGTTGTTAGTTCTAGCGCTCCTAAGCCCCCTGACTTGGTCTGCCCCTCCTCCACACTCTGTGCTGCCCAGCTTTATTAAGCTCCTTAATCCTAGGATTAAGAAAGAAAACGAAAAAAGAGGAGCGGAAAAGGGGAATAAAGAAATAAGAAGAAAAAATATGAGGAGGGGGGGTTGGGAAAGCATAAGGAAGAAAATAAGGAAAATGATAATAAAGTAGTGATTTCAAAGAGTAGTAAAATGACTAGAGATTAAAAAATTAACATATTTGTTACTACACTTAGAGTTATGTGACCAGAAAAGAATTATGTAAATGTATAATTATCTTTTTAAAATTTCCTTTATCCTTCTTTCTGGAAACATACAGAAAATTTATAAAAATAGCATTTTTTACCATTAACAAATTTTAGGCAAGGGGCTCCTTTCCAGGTTGTTGTAATTTACATTTAACTTGGGTACTGATACTAATGTTGTACCACTATATATGTACCATTTTCATATATAACCATGAAATAATTAAGAAATAACTTAAACTTCAAGTATCATTAAACCGTAGTATAATAAAGTTATTTGGTCATGTGCTTAGCAGGTAATGACTCAATTAAATATTCACGAGGAGAATGCTCCATGAAGTTGAGGCACTGAATAGATACAGGTTGAGAGAGAAGAGCCAAATACATGGCTATCAAAGAAGCAGTGATCTAAAGAAAGGCTGTCTCAAGGCAAACAAGCATTCCTGTAGCATTAACAAGAAAAAAGAGGCAAGATATAGAAGGCAATAAATGAGAAGCACATTGTTACATCTTACTTGTCTGAGGTCAATGAATGCTAGCTGCAGGGTATCCCCCTGGAATCCTGGCACAGGCTCAGAGCTGGCAAACACTATTAAAAAAGAGAGAGAGAAAAACAAGATTGCAAAATATACAAGGATTTAACCACTACATTAATTTCTACTCATTACAAACGTATTATATTTACATGTAACCATTTCAAGTGAAGACTATTTATAATCTTTAAATTTCATTACTGAGAATGTTCTTTACACTCATTACCACAAATATCTTAATAATTTTAAACTTCTAATCTGCTATTTAATCACTATAATCCTTAATTATAATAAATATAGAATGGTTATCTTACATAAAGTTCAAGAGTAGTAATATACTTCAATCAAGAAAATTTTCTGACTCTTTTTAGCCTTAGGTGAATGATTATAGAAGTATTTTGAACCTACACCAATTCCATGGCTGTCAATATATTTCAAAACATCTGCTTTGTTGCAGCTTTACATACAGAAAACAGGCATAATGTTCTAAGAAGCAAAATGAAGACAATGCAGGAACGTCTGTTCATGCCTTTCAATAATTTTTTTCCATAAAGAAATCCCATCCCTTTAAAAACTAAAAGATACCTTAAGACAAGACTGAAAAAAATTTTTTGAGATTTTTTCAACAATTTTTATACTTAAAAAAATTTAATACTAGTAACATAGCTTAAGTTGCAAATAATTCCAGTATTAGTTATTTTGAAGACAAAAGACTTGATTTATTAAAAAGACCCTGTCTTTTTACACACAAGCTTCTCTGATAAGAATAAAAATGTCTAGAAGCATTCTTCCTCCCCATTAATATCTTAGTTTTCTTAAAGAACATTATAGATTTTCCATTTATGAGTTTATCTGAGCCAGTATTTTAGAAGCCATTTACATTTTCAGCCCATACAGTTCTCACAAAACAAAAATAATTCTTAAGTTTAGTGTATTCTGTGTGAAATAGTTTAGAGAGGCTCAGAATCAACTATCAAAAACAGTAAATATATGAAAGCCAAGCACAGCTTAACTTATCTGATATTTTTAGAGAATAAAGAGTCAAAAATAAGTTTTGTTATTGCTGTTGTTTTTAAGATCATGATTTTTACTTTAAGCATTAAAACTTTTTTAACCTTATGTATTTTCTGATGGATTTTTAAGCTGTAATGTAATAGTTCCTATGCTTGAGTAATCTAAATATCATTTAATCTTTTCTTAATTCTTTGGACAACCATTAAGAACACCTTTTATTCTACATAATACTATAAATTCCCAGGGCTGCTGTGTTATTAGGAGCTATTGTCTGTTTACATTAAATAGCTCAGAAATGCAATGTGGTTTGAGTTTTTGTGACTAGCTTTTATGATTTTTCTTCCTTCTCCCTTACAGTTTTAATATAAATTCCTACTCTCTGCTCTCTCACTAATGTCTTATTAATATGCTATCTTTAATATCCTCAAGCTGGTAAATCAGGTAATCAATTACTAGAATTGTATGTACATTAAGAGCAAATAGAGACTGAGCAAGGGCCTCTCCCATAAGTAAGGTGAATGGGTTTTATATACGCCTGTGAGTGTACATACCTTTTGAATAAGAGTAACCTTTTGGTGACCCAGAAGTGTACCATTTTTCTGCTTACTTTTAATCCTGTGCTACATACTATATACGTAGTTATGACCATTATATAGGTGACTCACTCACCTTTCTCAGGCCCTCCTATTTCTAGAAAACTAAGATTTATTGTGCAAATCTAGTCACACTTTTCACTTTTTAGTATAATTTACTCACATCACCATCATTACATACAACGAAAAGTGGCATACTTTCATACTGTGGCACCCCCATCAACCCCTACACCATGTCCTAGATCTCAGTTGCCTTTCAGATCTTAACTGAAAAATGATAAGCAAAATTGTAATAGCCATTAAAATTAAAAAAAAAAATTTCTTAAGACCATCCAGCACATTACTAGCTTTTTTGGCCACAGTCTCGGGCTACTGTTTCTAAGTAATAGTTTACTATGAATCTCTAGTGGTCTTCAACCCAGGCTGTAAATGTTAGCTCAGTTTCTCCCACCACCACATATCCATACACATACACACACACACACACACACACACACACACACACACACACACACAAAAAAAAAGGTGTCCTGTAATGCAGGGAGACTTAGTTCATTTATCACGCATAAAAATCAGCTCAACTTCAATTATACTTGCAATTATTATCTACTTAATCTCAGAATTTTTGTGCACTGAAAATAATCTGTCATTTTTCTTCTCCCTCAGTTCCTGTTTAAGATACTAGTTTAAGCCCCAATGCTCTACATTAAACCAAAGAGTTTGTTGTCAAAATTATAATAGTATCATAAATTTACATAATACTTTATAGTTTACAAAGCACTTTCTCACACACACCATATCTGCTTTGATCATCACAATAACTTATGTTAGTAAATAGAGCATGCAGATGTTGGATGAAATCTTGCACTCAGAAGAGACGCAGCCCTTTGAAATACCTTCAACAGTCCACTAAAGGCTTACTTTAAAGGTCACCCAGTCTTTCATTTTATAGTATAGAAAAAATAAAGTGAAGGGACTTTTCCAGGATTACACAGTTAATTCAGATCTCCTGGCATTCAATCCATTGATCCAAAATCTGATTAGGTATTTAGCCTCTTATCTTTTATCCCATCTTCCACAAGAACCTAACCAGTATGGAAGTAAAGCTCAGTAGTTTATAGCTCTCACGGCTTCTTTTCAAATGTTTTTTAGGGATTGGAGGCAATTTAACTATCTGATAATCATTTAGCACAAAAAGTATTTGTAATTATGTGCTATTCAATTTGATAATGGCTTCATATTTGTTCCTTTACTTCTTTAAAATTCAAATGCAGCCAATCCTGTTGCTTCTGCCTTCTAAAATATCTTGAATCTGAATCTGTCTCTACCTTGGTTCAAACTAGCATTATTTCTCATTGGGATACTAAAATACACTCCTATCTGGTCTGTTTCTTCTGTTTCATCTCTCCACACACTTCTCCAAGTGTGATTTAAGTAAAATGTAAATGTGATTTGTGTCACTTCATAGTTTAACTCTTTGAATAGCTCTCCATCACCTTCACAATAAAGACAAATAAGGTCCTTTATAAACTGGCCTTTGCCTGTCTCTCCAGCCTCACATCTTACACTTTCCTAGGGACAACTTATATTCTCTCCATACCAAACTAACTATACTTACTTGCATATGCCAAAACTCTTTCATAGTACCTTTGATTCTTCTGCCTGGAGCATACTTTCTCTTCTTCTTTTCCATCAGGTAACTCTTACTCATCCTTCCATTCAATCGTCTGCGGAAACCTTCCATTATACTACAGGCTGGGTTAGACCTCTCTGTGCTCTCATTGCAATTTCCTCTGTACAGTCTAACTACATCCTCCATTTTGCTACCTTGTAATTGTTTATCTGTCTGGATCTTCCCATCAACCATGAATTACCTGAAGGTAGGGAATATGTTTCCATTTCTATATCCCTATCTCTTAGCACAATGCTTGACATATAATGAGTAGTTAACAAAAGTTTCTTAAATAAATGAAAATTGTACAAGTGAATGAATGAGTTCTAAAAGGATGCCATCCAGTCCCTGGTAACTGATACAATTCTAGCTTGTTGATTAGATCTAGAATGATGCTGTCCAACAGAACTTTATGCAATAATGGAAATGTTCTTTCTGTATTTGCACTGAATTTTTACTTTTATTTTAGTTAATTTAAATTTATTCGCCACATATGGCTATGGGGCAGTGCAAATCTAAGACATTCGGAGCATATTTAGTATATTTATTCCAAAATAATTGAGTGTGGGTGAGAATACTCCTGATGTTTTCTTTAATTAAAACTAATTGTGAGTTCCTCCACTGAAGAGAAAGCTTGTGTGAAGCAGAGATAATTTCTTTTGCCTTTATAAATTCTCTGCCTGGTGCACAGGAAATTGTCAATAAATGTGTTAAATGAATGACTAATAATACAAATAATTCACTTCTTCTAATATTGTCTAATGGTCCCAGTAATTTTGGAGGTGAATTTCAACCTTTGAAGTTTTTAAAGAATTGAATACTAATTTTTAGAATCCTGTTAAGTATTGACTTCAGATTCCTTCTTGGCTCATCTAGATTCTCATTTTGTATATGCTTTGCTGTATTTGGTAGTTTCTTTATTTTCCTCCCTTTTATTTTATTATTTTAATGAAATAATGCCCATGTGATAATAATATCCCTATTGTGATTCCTTTGTCTTTGTTACTTAGTCTTGCCATTAAGGGCATTTTTAAAAAAACACAGACTGATCCTGGTCTTTCAGTAAGATATTTGAAAATAGTTTCCAGGCTTTCTAAAGTTTTTTTTTTTTAAGAAAACTAGTCTAAATGTTCAGCTTTTTTCTCTTAATGCCTCCAATTTGACCAATTATTTTTTAAAAACAAAATAACTTCATGGTATATTAATTTCTTATTTTCTGCTACAATGTGGAACTTAATAATTGTGAATCCAAATTTAGAAATACTCTAAACAAAAAAAGATTAGAGAGGGAGATGTCTGATCTTACTGGGAAGGTCTTTTGGAACAACAGAGTAAAATTTTGCTATTTTAGCCTAACTGGGAAGAAGAGAAGTATGAATTAATTTAGAAGAAGCTGAAAGCAAAAAATAATAGATGCTGTGCAAACTGTGATTACAATGACAAAAAAGTCTTCCAAACTGGCAATCTACTAAATTTTAAGAGAATAAATAAAGAATATTTGTAGGCAAAAACATAAATTATTTGTATATATAACAACAAAAATTAAGTAGGAAAATAGGCCCCTTCTGCCCATAGGATCTATATACAAATGTAAAAGCTTTGGTAGCGGGAACGGGGTAGGGGTGGGGAGTGAAGACTGCTAAGAAGTCAGGCTGTTAAGTATTTAACCTGGTATGAAAATATACAAACCTTTCCTGAAATAAATGCAGAGGGAATAAGGCCTTGAACAATCTTAATCTTGTCCTAGGCAGATAATTTTATCTTTACTATAAGGTAG